CTAACTTTAATTTTTTAAAACTTTAACTTAAATAATAAGGTAGTTACGTTACGTACGAGAAGAAGGTAGTAAAGTAAAGTAAGTAGTTGGTATACTACACACACACACACACACACACACACACACACACACACACACACACAATGAGATATTACTCAGCCATAAAAAGTGAAATTCTGCCATTTGCAACAATATGGGTGGATCTGGAAGGTATTATGCTTAGTGAAATAAGCCAGAGAAAGACAAATACTCTACGTTATCACTTTTACGTGGAATTTAAAAAATAAAGGAGATGAATGCATATAATAAGACAGAAGCAGACTCACACAGATAGAGAACAAACTAGTGGTTACCAGTGGGGAGAGGGACGTGGGAGGGAGAAGACAGGGGTAGGGGGTTAAGACGTACAACAATTGTATACAATTGGTAAGCAATAAGGATATATTGTATGGCACAGAGAAATATAGCCATTATTTTGCAATAACTTTAAATGAAGCATAATCTATAAAAGTATTGAGTCACTATGTTATGCACCTGTAATTAATACTGTAAATCAATTATATTTGAATTAAAAAATTTTTTTCCAAAAAAAAATTGATTGATTGCATACACCGTGACAGACATGGAGGAAAGGCCATGAGTAAAACAGGCAGCCATTCTCATGGAGACTGGCTCACGGAAATAGTCCAGTGGTGGGAGAAAGATCACAGATAGATAAATGTATGTTAGATGGTAATAAATACTATGGGAAGGAATAAGCCAGGGCAAGGTGACAGAGAACATGGTGGGCAGTCGGAGGTAGCTATTCTGAAAGGGTGATCACAGTCCACCCTCCGATATGGAAATATTTGGGCAGAAACCAGCATGATATGAGGAAAGAAACTCTAAGGTGTCTGGGAGAACAGTGTTCCAGGTGAGGGCACAGTAAGTGCAAAGGCCCTGAGACAGAAGCATGTGTCATTTGTTTGAGTAGCTACAAGAGATCCAGCCAGGCAGAGGCTGGGAGAGGGTCTTCTTATGAAAATGAAGGAGCGAGGATGAGATAAGAAAAGGGAATAATGATGGAATCAATCTTTTCTTCAGAAACCTCCCATTGTGTCTGCTTCAATGCAACAAACACAACCATCATCATTTTAGCTTAAACACTGTGCTGAAACATGCATTAAAATCACCCACTCCAAGGGGGAGGGTATGGCTCAGTGGTAGAGGGCATGCCTAGTATGCACGAGGTCCTGGGTTCAAGCTCCAGTACCACCATTAAAAATAAATAAACATATAAACTGAGTTACACCCCTCAAAAAATTTAAATAAAATCTTCTCTTAAAAGAAAAAATCACCCACTACAGAATGTAAATTGGTACAGCCACTAAGGGAAACAGTACAGAGGCATCTCAAAAAACTAAAAATAGAAGTACCATGTGACCCAGCAATTACACTCCTGGGTATAATATGCAAAAAAAAAAACCAAAAACCCAAACACTT